CATTCAAGCCCACCAGACATTTGTATCACCCATGACAGTGTGGCTGAGTGGGTCAGGAGTAAGAGCCATTAGGTAAAGAATCTATCAATACTTACTACATTAACTTCTAATTTTATAATTCAGTTGTTTATCAAATGTTCTTTAGATCATGGCATAGTTTAGTTAGTTATGACTGAAGCAGGGAAGCAAGGCCCTTAGAAATAAACAGCCATAGGAATCTACTGATGACTATGCTGTCAAAGGGAAATAAGGTTTCAGACTGGCTGAACAAGTTTTATATCCCACTTAATGACCTGTTCAGTAGCTCCAGGGCTTGGCTCTCAGGTGGAACAGTGAGTATTCAGACCTGGAATTTCCTATGCTCTAGCCAGCAGGTTGCCAAGAGCTCATCCATGCACTGGTGTGAGGAGACAGATTGTTAAGGTGGTAAGGATGGTCAGTGTTGGGCTTTTCTGTGTAAATCAAGTAGCATCTCCACCTCTATTTCTCTTTTTTCTACACTTGACAGAAAAAAATTGTATCATGAATGGGCTGCATTACACATCATACAGGGAAAAATCAGAGATGAACAGATATTAATTCTGTTATTTGTGTAAGGGAATGAAAGACAAATTCAGTTTAAAGCACAGAGTAATGCTTGTTTCCCAGGCCAGCCACATACTTTCTGTGTGAGCTGGAAAGTCCTAAAGCATGGGAGATGCTGATTAAATTTTGTGATTATTGTGTCTCTATTGGTCTGTTGTTACATTGCCAGCTCAAACACAGCAATAAATTAATTCAAGCACTGGACAGCAGTTCTTTCTCACAAAAGGTGTTACCAGGTTCAGCTGATTCAATTACCAGCATGCAAAAGGCCAATTAAAAAAGAACAACAACAACAAAAACTCCACTGCTTTGAAAATCTGTTTGGACAAGATTCAAGCAGGAAAAATTGGAAAAACAGCTTTGCTGGCTGGTTGCATGAGAGTCTTGGAAACATCTAAGCCTCTGGTCAAGAGATTTGTGTGCAGGCTCTGGAGTTCTGCACTCAACAGGAAATCACTGCTGAGTACCTAGTACACATCATAGGTCTGACATCTTGGGCATTGTTGCTTAACAGGGCTGTGAGTGACCTTAAACAAAACATGACATCATTACCAATTTAGTTTGCTAATGGCAAAGAAGATGATCCCAGAGAGCAGCTGGGATTGCTTTTTCAGTTGACCAAATGAAATAAAATGTGTATTAGCTGTAAACATACAAACAAAATGGGTACCATAAGCTCATGCCTATGCAGAAAGGAACACAGGCTAAATTAGTGAGCAGTTGACACTGGAAAACATACTTTTCAGTCTGCTGGTAGATCTAATTTCTTTGCACAGCCATATCCTAAAGGAACAAGGACTTAACTTCTATTCCATAAAAAACCCCTGAAGAATACTATATTCTAGAAGTTTATTACTTCTTTTAACCCGCTTGTGTCACAACAAGTACTCTCCTGGCCTGCTTCTCTGGTCTGTAATTTAAGGAGCTACTGAAGTGTTCACATGGTAAAGATCTTCTTTATGCTTACACAGACCAATACAATGCATAGCTTTTATAAAAGGCTACAGGACATATTTAGTATTAATCCATCTCTCACTGTCTTTTAATTTAAAATTTAACTTTGTCTTTTGATATCAGTATCTATGCTCAATCTGAGACAAAATTTTCTCCATTGTGATTCTTAACTCTGCAGTACAAAAAATCACCAGAGACATCTGCAAACACCTTTACTTTTCCACAACTGTTTTTTCATATCCTGAAGTTAGTTGAGTACTGTAATTACTGACAGATTCATATCACTCACAGAAGTATACAGGAGGGTAGGTAAAGTGAACTCAGAGGAAAATCACAACTCTTCCCATAACGATGAAACCAATTCATTGCCACAGTGAATGAAATCTGATAATTTTGCCTCTGTACAGCATGATGACAGAACCCTGTTCTCATATACAAAGTCTGCATCTGCATACATCTGCCAGGATGGGCTATAACTAGGACTAAACACCTGAAATTAATACAGCCAATGTTTAATCCAATTAAAAGGACTGATGCACATCATTTGGAATGAACATGAGCTAACTTAATGAGTCACAATAAGTCTCATGAGCATTTTTGTTGCTAATTAGGGCCATAAAGCTACAGGGAATTATTTCAATCACCCACTGTCCATCAGAAAATAACATATAATTTAATAACAAAGCAAACCACAACATAGTAATTGCAGTGCAATACAAAGTTAGCTTAAAAGCTGAGAGATAAGCCTGAGATGCAGGCAATGTACTATTCCCAATTAAGTCAGCCTAACAGCTAACAAGCATTCTTAACTTGCTGGTCAAAAATGTGCCCTCAGAGATGTCCACAAACACTGCACCACCTTCTGAGTCAAAAGTGACTTGAACTGTAACCAGGGTATTTCAGTGTACAAAAGACTGGTAAGCACTTCTGCTGAGGGTTAGGACTGCATGCAATAGAATCTATTGCAATGAAATGCAACTGCAGAAGTCACATTCTCAATCAAGTCAGTGTATCTTAAAAGGATCCTGGCTAGTTTAAACAGTTTACCTGCACTGATTTAGATTAACTGATAAATCTGTGCATTTACAAAAAGCATACATCAAAATGGTGAGAAAGATGACCTTATGACATGTCTGAGATTCAGGCACATGTTCCCAGTTCTTGTATTCAGCAGATTCAGAGGAGTTTTCAATTCTACAACTGTAAGAATTCTACAAAGTGTAAGATGCATTTCCAAACTCCTGAACAATCTGGCAGTATTTGGCTGGCAATGCTGAGCAGACTGAGTGTTAAGCTGGTAGTTGAAAAGATATGTGTGATCAATGTAAGTGATATCAAGTGTACAAACAAGCAGACAAGTAGATTCAGGGAATATCAATGTGTCCATGGCTTACTATACAGTAAATCTGTGGAAAAATCCGAACAACAAAAAGGAAGTAAATCATTAAAGCTTACCTAAGAAATACACGTGCATAGTCAATAATTAATTATTCATTCTCCTAGCTAATCATCCATGTTTCTTATTAAGGTATTTGGACTGGTCTGTGAATTGCATCAGGCCTGAAGCCCCGAACAGATGCATTAAGATGGGAAAATCCTTAGGAAAATGCTTATTGATTAAGGACATAAATCATTCTACTAAAGACAACAGTCTTGTGCTTTAGTTGCTGGGGGTTTTTTTTAAGTAAGCATAGAAACATCAAAGCTTTTGAGAATAAACAAACCAATGCACTTTGAAAGTATAACAGTGCTATAGAATCATGTTTGATTTTACTGGACACAGGGGGTGAAACCCTAATTCCTTGTCTGAAGGCACATAAAGCTTAACTATCTAATTCAATTGCAGCAGCATTACACATAGTTTTAAAAACTCACATCCATGTATCCAGTACTGCCAAGCTAACAGCCAGTATATTGAAAACAATACAAAAATAAAGATCTTAAAATAACAAATTACTCAGAAAACAAGACTGCACTCTTTGCTTCAGAAAGCGCCCCTAAAGATTTATGTATACAGGTACAGTCAATGCTGTGCCAGTAGGAGCCTGTTTACTCTATCATTTGCAATGGTTCTCCCAGTAAATGAACTCAACATACAAGTAGGGATGCTCAAATTAATGAAACATTTTTACTTTTTCATTACAAGACAAAAACCCCAATATATTAGAACATTGTCTGAGTAAGAGTGAAGACTTTCAGGAAAGTCTAAAGAAAAGCTGTTACTTAAAATTTTTTAAATCAAATGGCAGTTAAAATTTGTCCTTCATTTGGCTTCTTCATAATTTTTCTTTCAAGACTCTCAGGTTGGAAAACTGCAGCATGTCAAAACTCGTGGATGTTTCCTAACTCCCTGAGTTTATAGATGGAGAACAGAACCATGCTGCATAACATGTGGGCAGCCAGCACAGTACAGCATTTGCAGTACCAAGAATATGGAAAAATTATTATTGCAGATACCAAAATCTTTGTGAAATGTTCATTATTATGGTGAATGATGAATGGTATCCTCCAGAAGGAAGCTCCCAGGCAACCATCAGGCCTAAGCTCCCCTGCATTACAAGTAACAGATACTGAAGAGTGTGTTCGAGTTGTTCAGGAGCCAGCTTTAGAAATGGGTTAAAAATTACTGGTATGGAATTCCGAGGGACACTGCTGGTGACATGGAAGGTACCTGGGACCCAACCATTCCACATGCCCTCGTTTTTTCCCTGCTTGTGTTTATCTCAAAGCTTCTCAGTGAAGGGTTCACCCTCACTTTGCTTAGAGGAGACCACAGAGCTGAGGAGGGCACAAAGCTTCACTCCTGCTGAAGAACCACAGAACGACGGGCAAGGCTGGAAAGGACCACTTTGGGTCACCTCGTCCGATCTCCGTGCTCAAGCAGGGTCACCCCAGAGCACATTGCACAGAATTGTATCCAGACGGTCTTGAATCTCCAGCGAGGGAGACTCCGCAAACTCTCCGGGAAATCTGTTTCAGAGCACACTCACTCGCATTGGAAAGAAAGCAAGAATTTCAGGATTCTAAAGAAAAGCAGTGTACCTCGCTTTTTGCTTTTTAAAATCAAACGCTCCTAAGAGCCGGACTTGGCCAGAGGGGACCGAGCCCTACATCCCTGCAGCAGCTCGGCGGGGCTGGCGGCTGCTGAAACCCAGAGAGCTTCGCCACCTCCTGTCTCAGTGACCCTTCGCCAACGCCGCAGTTTGTCCCCTCCCCTCCGCAGCTCCGGGCCCTCGGCCCAGGTCCCAGCGCCTCTCCTGCCCCTTCACGCCGACCCAGTGACACTGCGGGGAAAGGGCCCCGGGGAAAGAGCCCCGCTCCCCGGGCCGCGCCCGGCCCAGCCCGGCAGGACGGCTCCGGGTGCCGCCTCCGTCCCTCCCTCCGTGCCTTCCTCCCTCCCAGCCGGCGGCCGCCGCTCTCCCCGCCCCCGGCCGTGTGTGCGGAAGCTGCCGGCGCCCGGGATTGTGGGAGCGGGGGGGACGCGGAGCGGGGAGGGGACGCGGCCGGGCCGGAGGGTTCCGGTGCGGGGCGCAGACGTGTCGGCCGGGGCCGCGGAGCGACAGGCGCTGCCCCTGCCCGCTCGGAACAGCGCCCGGCCCGGGGCCGGCCCGGCGGCGCCATGGCCGGGACCAGCAGCCCCGAAGCCGTGAAGAAGCTGCTGGAAAACATGCAGGGGGACCTGCGGGGCCTGAGCCTGGAGTGCCGGAAAAAATTCCCCCCCGTCAAGGAGGTGAGTGGCGCTGAGCCGAATCAGGCCGGGCTGTGCTGGGCTGAGCCGGACTGCGGACGTCGTTCCGGAGGGGCCTCTATGGCCCCGGGGCCGGGCCGGAGCGGTGCTGCCGGCGAGCCCCTGCTCTGGTACCCAGCCGGTGCCGTTCCCGGTGAGCTCCGACCTCCACCGCCGCGGGCTGTGTCCAGCTGTGGCCGTGCCCAGATGTGGCCGTGCCTGTCGCGTGTTCTGTGGCTGCTGTTGTCAGTGCGCTGCCGAGGCGGGGGCCGTGGGCCGGGCTGTGCCCCTGGGGGCTGGCGGACAGACCGGCTGTCGGCGGGCGAAGCGGGGGCGGCCCCTCGGCGCCCTGGGGGGAAACCCAAAGTTCGGCTCGGCTGTCTCGGCGCCACGGAGCGAGCGGAACACACCGGAGGCGAGCTCGGCGCTGGGGCTTGTCCGCCCCGGGCGAGCGGGGAGCCCGCCGGGCGCGCTCCGGCCGAGGAGGGCCGTGCTCAGCCCCGGCCGGCCCTGCGGCTGCCGGGGGAGCCGGGGCCCCGCAGGTCTCCCCTCGGGTCTGTGCCTTGCCGCTCTCTGGAAGGCTGTGGTGCCCGGCCCGGTGCCTTATTCCTCAGCATTGCACACCCGTGACTGCCGGTGGCAGCTGTGGCGGTCGCTCGTCATCGCTGCCGCGTCGTTCTGGGGCAGTGTGGCTTTCCAACGGTGTGGGCACAGCTGAGGAAGCTTGGGAGACACAGAAGTTTGGGTTACTGTTTTTTCCTCTCTTCTTAAGAAACTCTTTAATATACTCATTACAGTAGGACTGTGTGTTTTGGTTTTGAAACGTGACTTTATGCTGTGCAGCCTGAGACCTCAGTAATCTCGGTGAACAGGATTATTTTAATTGAAGAGGAATCCGAATTTTTCTTGCTAACCTAAAATATACTTTTTAACCATATGTTTTTCCATTGTTTTTATACAGTTAGTTTAGTTTTTTCCCTATCAGCAGTTTGCTGCTTACCATTTAAAAAAGTTTTCTATGAAATAGCGGGAGGAAAAATATTAAACAATTAGATCAGATTAAGATGCAGACCCAGAAGCATCTGAGAAAGGCATTGCGTGTGTTATGTGACTTAAGTTCCAATTAAGTGATAGCACATTTAATGTTGTACAAAGTAATATACACTTTAACAACTGAATTGAAGCTAATGGCTGTGCTTGTTTTGAAAGACATGAGGTGACACAATGTAGCTGAGAATGTTGTGTACTATTTTAGTTGGCAGAGGAATGCTGGTGCGTTTGTGAAATTTTGTGTGGTCACAGAAAAGCGAGAGAAAGTTACGATCAGTCCTGACGAATTGTGTGTGGTCACATGTAAATAAGAAAGAGCTGCAGTCAGTAGAACAGAAACTTCTGTGTGTTTGAAGGGAGCTGGGAGTGCTGCTTGCACTCCCTTCTGTGTATTACTGTGTGACTCTTGTTTCATCTCTGAACAAGTTTCCCCACTGAGTTAACATTTATTTTCCTTGAGATCTCCAAAGGACTTGGGCAGTGTCGTTCATAAGCTAGTATTTTTAGTAATGCCTCATTAAGTTTGCCATGGCGGAATATTATAGTAACTACTGTGTGTACTTCATACTTGTTCAGCACGTTTATCATATTCTTGTGTAAGCTCAACCTATGTGTTGTTCACTTTAAATTGACAGCAATTTGTATAGCTTTCTTCATTAAAAGAACTTAACAAACTTTTCCACAATTGTTTGGGATTTAAATAGGTTTATTGGAATAGTACAGGAAGATGTTTATAAGGAGGTGCGAGGAGTTCTGCTGGGAGTTGTGTGCTCTTACAAACAGTCTGAGGTGAAAGCAGTCTTACAGTAGGATGTATGGTACAGTTGCAGGAAACGATCTTACTTCCTCACTTCTGGAAGCCCTTTTTTGTTCTAGTTTTAAAGAAAATGGGTGTCCTTTTTTTGTCAAATCCCAGCTGCTTAAGGAGATATTTTAATTGCATGCTTTTGGTCTGATCGTGATTAGATTTGGCTAGAATGATCAGAGGAATGGCATATTCTTCTTACTGACTTGAAACAGCACCACTTTTTAAAACCATGTTTAAATACTGGCTTTTGAAAACATATTCTTACCAGCTCACTTTTTAACTTGCAGTGTAACTAAACTCTCCCACATGCGTTGTAATTTATGAGTTTGTATTGCAGTTGGTGTGTATGCTTTCATGTCACTTAATGAGCTTACCATACTGGGATAAAACTATTAAAAAACTCCTAGTCCCAAATTAATAGTTATGAGATGTATATCAAAGTTGTTAGATTTGATCGGTACTTTGTAAAGGTAAACTCTTTCTCCTCATCTTTCTAGTGTCTGACATAGTCAAAGATTTTGCTCACAGTTGTTATCTTCAGCCACTTCTAAAATTAATTGTCTCTTCTGGTTTTGTTGGTTTATTTTTATATTAATAGTGTTAAAATTCTACAAAGTGAATTTAGGTGATGGGTTTGCTGTGATAAAAGTAGTAATGTACTTCTCAGTTCTGGTTGTTGCTCAGATGATTAACCTGAGTAAATTCTTTAACCAGTACTGTAAGGATCTAGACCAGTTGTATGATCAGAAAAACAGAGCCTGTTTTATTAAAAGGGGCTTAGTTTTCACTCTCTAAACACCTTTCTAAGTCATATGTTATTACAAAATTGTGCAGAATCTCTTAGGTTCTGAGACACCAAAACAATATTAAATGATTTTTTGAACAGGCATGTATATGACACAGCAGAAGAAGTTTAGTGGAGTTATTTTGGAGGAGGAGGATGAGGGAGGGGTTTGTATGCAGAAGAGAAGGGGACAACGAACCATGGGATCTAGATCTTATCCTCAGTTAGAAAGCAGAAGTGAGTTCTTAATGAAACCTTATTGAAAATGTAACTTGAACTCTTCAATGTTTTGAGGACTTTAATTTCATTTTTTCTGTTACTCTGAGTCTTTAAAGTTTTCTTAGTAGGTCATGTTCATGTGAAAATTGTCTAATTGTAAGTCCAGTAACTTACAGCTGTAGAGTCTGAGGTTTTTGCTGACTTCAATAATCTGTTAAGAAATGTTGAAATTAGTGAGTTTCTCCCATTGTTAAACTTGGACACAAATATGGCCAACTTCCTTCCCCTTAGAGCTTTTAACTGAGAAATAACAGGATGTTGGCTCCAAAGTATCCATATGTTGTCTGTGCTCTATGTTAACAAATAATACCAAAGTAGGATTTTCCTAGGTTATGTCATTTAAGGCTTTATAAATAGGAGCTGCAGAAAGAACCTGAAATTGTATTGCTGACAAAGTTTGGGGTTTAAATAACATAACAGACTTATTTTTCTAAAGGGTGTGGAGAATACCAGCTACTATTACAGTTGAAGCCCGTTTCTCTTTGTTGCTGGATGTTTTTATGTTTGATACTTCCTCAGATCAGCAGTGACTACAGAAGTGTACTAGGCATGAATGCTATACACTGTGACCAAGAAGGGATATGGTGACTATGTCTCTGATATGCCAAACCTGTTTATACTGGCAGACATGCAAAAAATGACATTGCTGGAAAATATGTTTGTATTTTCATCATGTATTTCTGTTGCCCAATTAGAAAAGTAGATGCCAGCCATGGATGGGATAGAAGCTCTCAGGGAAAATGCAAATAAAACACTGTCTTTTGGAGATTGAAATTACAGAGGGTGAAACAGTCTTTGGTAGAGGCATCAGTCCTGTTGATGTTATCTCAAATAATCTGGTGTTTCTCCTGGAAAACAATACTACTTGATCTTTAACACATAATTTTTAATACAGTGGGCTCTGAGATTTGCTCTGTCCTAGAGAGTATTGCAGTACTGCTTATGCTGCGCTGAATTGCATGCTGCACACACAGAGCTTTATAAACTGTTTTGACCTGCTAGTGACTGGAGTTTTGCTATTGAGTGCTGCATTTGGGGAAAGCTTGTGGTCCTCTCCTTAGTGAACTGGAGTAAGAATTTTCTCTTATCACCAAATTGAAGATGGTTTACTGTCCTAAATAGGTTTATCTGCTGTTTCTTATTACACAATGAAAATACTGCTCAGTAAACTGCATATGATTTGGTTAGATAATTCTACTGCATTAAAAACTTAGAAATACTTATAATTGGCAGAAGTAATGGAGTTAAAATGAGAAATAAGTATACCCAGAAGTTTCTTGCAGCCTGAATTCCAGTTGTATGTAAATCCTTGTTGTTTACACAGATACAATCAAGCAGTTGCAACTTTCTTGAGGCTTGTATTCTCTGTGTTGTCTCAGGTCTTTTCTTGACTTTTAAATAGCAGTAAAAGCAAAGTGAGTTTAAAAAAATACCACCAAAAAAACCCAACCAACCAACCAAACAAAAGTAACTTTTATCCAGCCCCTGCACAGTTTCAGGCACATCTCTGCTGGTAGGAGAGGGGAAGGCAGAGGGCTGGCAGTGCTGGGGCTGACAGGGACTACTGCAGGATCAGCTTGGCCTGGGCCAGGGCATGCCCTTTTCTTGGCAGTTGTGTAATGGGTTGCAGGTGCCTGTATGTTTTAGGGTGTTTGTTGCTGTAATAGGGCTGGGAAAGAGGTTGTGTTTAACTTGCCTCCACTGGAAGAGCATCACAGAATTAGCTTTTAATATTTTGATCAGTAGAAGTGCTCTCTTGAGTCTCTTGGAAGAAAGGTTTTGGTAGCCTCTCTGTGCTGTTTCTTTACCCAATCCTTGTTTGCAGGAGCAGTATTGCTTTTACTTAGCTACTTACTGAGTTGTGCACCTTTGGCACATAGATACCTTTTTGAAACGGTATTGTAATTTGCTGTATCTGGGAAAAAGAATAGAATCCAATTTTGCAGACTTATTTTTTCTTCCTTTATAAGTAACTCTTCTTGCAGGCAAGTAGCCTTACAAAGCTCATAGGGTAAAAGTTAAAAAGGGAGGATTTGAGTGACTTCTGGACAAAGCAAACTTTAAATTATTTAATTACAGTAG